TGTTAGCTCCCTGTTCACCAACTGTGACGTATTTCCAAGTTTTAATTCACAACCAAAAGGGAAAAACATATATACACACAAAAACTGAGATTCTAACATCGCAAAAGGGTCCTAAGAGCTGGGGCCTGTTGTGTTTTGCCTTAATCTGCCTGTCACAACTTTCTCAGTGCCTGACCCACCCCAGACCACGTCCCTGACTTTGCTGTTGGAAGTCAGGTTGTACCAACATGTATAATAAGGTGGTGCCCATCCCAGGTTTCACTGGGAGAATCAGGTGCTCAATTGTGCAGTTGTGTTGCCACATATTCATGCTACGCTGCTCAGGTTGGTAGCAAATTTTCCAGTTAAGCTGATTTTGATGGAGATTGGGGTTTTCATCTAAATGATTTTTTTTCTCTTTCTCTTGGGAAAAAAATTTGTGGTCAAAAACTAAATGCCCCCAAACTGAAACATTTTTGCCAAAAAACTACATCTCCCATGATGCACCATGGTCCTCTCTTCAGATTCCCTGATATTCCACCTCCGCTCTACAGGAGAGGATTCCCTGGTGCATCCTGGGAGATGCAGCCCAACGCAGGAGCCTGGCTGATAGAGAAGAATGGGAGCCCTGGTTGTCAACTGTGATTGGATGTTTTCCTGGAGGTGTCAGGATACAACATTATCTTAAAGATTAACCTTATATTAAATTCCCGGAGACTCTGGGACTGTCCTGGAGGGATGGTGACCCTAAGCAGGAGGCACTCAAACTACAACTCCCATGGGGCACCAGGGCAGTATTTCTAAATTAAAATACTTTGGTTGCCAGATGAAAATTCTTTTTGTAGTTGAATATCTGCTGAAAAATTAAACTTTTCTGGGGAAAAAGATGACATGAAAATGTGGGATTTGTTTTCATTTTTGTCAAACGTCTTCCCGTTTTCGACTTTCTGCTCCTTTCCTCACAGCACATGGCTCTGTAAGGCTGGGTCGGGAAGTGAGCGTTGGCTTTTCCTTCCATATCTCCTCTCCCCGGGCGCCGCGGCCTTGGGGGGGGGGGGGGGGGGACGCTGACGTCCGGCTGGCATTATCCTCTGGGTGCTATTGAATTGTGCAGTGTTGCAATCCGAGGTACAGTCGTGTTCTTTCTTACAGGGAGACGATGTGAGGGCAGAAAGGGTATCCTTACCGAAAAGGTTAAACCCCAAAGAGCATGCAGAAGGCTGCTTCCTGCGATACTACTGCAGCCCAGTTGACTGTGCGTTGCTTAATTTTGTGGAGAGAATACCAGGGACAGAGTACCTCACCCAAGGCCTGTTTTGTCCTGTCATTCCTCATTTTTGCACCCACTGATCCATGTCCAAAGCCCAAGAATGGCACCAGGAAAGAAGGGCTTTCACTTCTAGGATAGTTACCTTCGTCAGAAGATTCCTCTAGATCTGGTGCCTTGGGTGCTTCCTGGGTCACTGCAGAGGAGAGAAACCTGGGTTACGCTAGCAGAGTCCTATGTACGACTGGCTACCTATCTCGCTGGGAAGAGTCTCCTCCCCGGAAAAGGCAGACTCGCCCCTCTGACGAACACTGTGAAAACTGAGGCTTCCACAGCTAGTAATGCCACAGGTAAGTGGGGCCTTGCAAGAGGTGAGGAGGTCAGAAGATTTGTTCCATGCACTTGAGTCCAGCACTGGAACCCGGGAGCATAAGTGCTCTGCACAGGCTCTTAGGGCCTTGCAAGAGGTGAGCAGGCCAGAAGGTCTGTCCCATGCGCTTGAGTCCAGCACTGGAACCCGGGAGCCTGTGTCTGTAGGTCTGAGCCAGCCCTGATTACAGGATGGGCCCCATGCAAGAAAGAGGAATTAGATGATTACAACATAAAAGGAGCCAGGGTTAAGTGCCCAGAGGAATTAGATGATTACGACATAAAAGGAGCCAGGGTTAAGTGCCCAGAGGGCCTGGTGGGGGAAAGGCTGGAGGGACAGAACTGCAGGGAGAAAGATCTTGCAGGGCCACTAGCAGGCAGAGAGGAAAGCTCTCCAGGCAGCGACCGACCCTGACTACATTCAGAACCGATTGGGAGACCATCAAGGTAGGAAGCGTTCCCAGGAAAACTGCAGTACAGGTCGAGGATCCAACCGAGAGACGGGGCTGAGGTGGGGTTCCCCCAGGGGCACAAGTCCCTTCCAAAGGTAGCTGGGCCCAGCAAGGAGGCCCAGAGAAGATGGAGGAAGGTTACTTTTTGTTTTTCTTAAGGAAATCAGGGACCTAGAAGCTGGGATGGTTGGGACTCCGGAAGGGGTGATGCTAAAATTCTGACCCGAGTTGACAGCCGCGTTCGCCAACCCACAGCCACGGCGCTGGCGTGATGGCCGGCAGGAGGTGGTGCAGGCCCAGGGTGGGAGCTGTCCCCCACCAGGGCATGCCCAGTCAGGAGCGGGTTTTACAGAGTTGGCAGAGTTTCAACATCCCTTTGCTGCCAAGTTTGGATGCTACAACTCGGACACTTGGGGGTTCTCTGCAGCTTAGTAGCCACAGCACCGGCAGGGAAGTCCTCGCTCTGCCTCGGCACTGGGACTGCGGGAAACCGCGATCTCCAGGAGATAATCGGGGATGGAACAATTCCTTATTCTCGTGTAACCGATTTTCTGGAATGAAGAGTCATCTGGGAGGGGTGCTCGCTTTTCTCACCAGACCCTGGTTTATATCTGAATCCCTGGGGGAAAGTCTACACTGCTGCCGGGGCGTCTGCACTATTGTAGCCCACCAAATACAAATGCTATATGCCGATGGTAGGGCACCCTCCTGTCAGTGTAATTACCCCACGTCTCCCACTGACACAGCACCAGTGTGGACAATGCTCTCGGAGAGTGTCTATCTCATACCTCCAAGGGTGTAAGTTACACCGACTTAAGCAGTGGTATCCACCCGCCCTTAGACACAAGGGTCAAAAAACTTGAGATGCTCATGAGACATTTTCCTTTCTTGCTTGCCTGAGCCAGCAAGTATGTGGTAAAGTCTGTCGACCACGTGTTAACCACTATGGAAATCGTATCTGTTCTCACTCTCGTTAACTCCAAAGACGGACCATTACCTTCAGCTTTTCTTGCAGACAGCATCTTGATCTGCAAAGACATGATCTATCATTACCACCACTCAAAGACCAGTGTCTTTTGTCTGCAAAGTCTAGAAGCATTTTTATCTCGGCCTGGAGTCTGCACCATTTGGGCACAATTTCAATGGGTGCACAAAATGATTTGGAGACAGGCCAAAGTGGAATTGAGTTCATCAGACATGTGAGGGAGACATGTTTGCTGGAATGATTTCCCAGATGGTTCCCAGAAGGAGGCCTTGCCAGTAGGCAAAAGAAAAAGCTTTACTAATTGTGTCTTAATCAAAAGTCTGGAAAAGAATAAAATAATCTGCAAGCCACAAAACGGGACTGCATTATTTTTCTGTTCCTGGCTCGTGCCAGCTCATTCCCACATGTGTGTGGTTTTGAGGGATGTAGATCACACTCCGGGAAGTATAAAGCCACAGTAGCACTGTAGTGTCGACACTCCCTACATCTACAGAAGAGGTTTTCCCGTCCATGTAGTTAAACCATCTCCCCAGCAGTGGTAGCTAGGTTAATAGAATTCTTTGATCAATTTAGCCTCCTCTGTACTAGGAATTAAGTTGGCTTTATTATAGAGCTCAAGGATGTGAAAAAAAAAGACACCCCAGAGTAATGCAGCATAGGCCATCCTAAATTTTGAAGTGTCACCCAGATCTGAGTCCCTGATACGACAAATCGTTTTAGCTCCTGCTTCAATCCATCCCAAGTTACTAAAACATTTAAGCAGGTGCTTAAAGTCAAGGATGTGTTGCTGAATCGGGGCCAAACTTCCTTAACTGTATCATCATTATATTCTTAGCTCAAGCACAAGCAGCAGTTAGAGTGAGAAACCTGAAAGACCTTCTTGCCTCCTTATAAGTGTCCATTTCTGCAAAACTAGTCATTTTTGAGACTGAGTGAAAAAACCAAAAACCCTCAACATTTTCCCCGTTGTGTATGAAAATCCTCCACTTGTTTTTGGATAGCTCTTGCACATCAGCCATTTGTGCAAGAGTGGAGATATGCTGGGTGAATGGTCCTTCTTGAGGAGAGGGGCCTGTTTGGTTCCCAACGGTTACTGCCTCAGCTGGAGACCAATCTAAAGCTCAAAGGCTGTGGCAGTCTCATAAACTAGGTGCAGATTAGCCTCTAGAGCAGGACAGAGAGCTGGGCGGTGTTCACAGGCCCATACGAACATAGCTCACTTACTGTTTTCTCCTGCGACCTGATAACCTTGGTCTGCTCTTTGAGCCGAGCAGCGAGCGTCCCCATTTGCTGCTGGAAGCGGTCAGCTGCGATCTGTTGGTCCTGCGACAGGGAGGCCTGAAGTCTCTCGTTTTCACTCTTCAGCTGAGAGAGACAATAAGTGATTATGATGAGCCTAGACATGATGGGTAGGCATTAGGGATCAGTCGGCAAACGCTTCCCCAGCCGACCGATCTGTGTCTAGACAATCGAGCTGTGCTGGATCAGCTGATCGTCGGCACAGAGTGGCAGCCATGTTTATTTTAATGAAGGGGGGATTATTTAAATCCCCGCTTCTTTTCCTATGCCGGGTAAACTAGTTTACATGGCTCAGTCGACGGAACCATGTAGTCTAGACATACCCTAAGATTAACATTTTGGGTATGTCTAGATTACAGGGTTTTGTCGACAGAAGTTTTGTCGACAGATACTGTCGACAAAGCCTCTGTCGACAAAGAGTGTCTAGACTACAGCCAGTTCTGTCGACAAAGCAAGCCACTTTGTCGAATAACAGTGTGGACGCAAAGGACAGTGTAGATGCAATAACGCCTTCTATCGACAGAACTCTGTCGATAAAAGGCATTATTCCTCGTAGAATGAGGTTTACATACGTCGACAAAACTGTTGAATTTTGTCGACGTTATGTCGACGTAACTCAAAGGCAGTGTGGACGCAGGTATAGTTTTATTGACAAAAGTCCACTTTTGTCGACAAAACCCTGTAGTCTAGATACACCCTTTCATTTCACATTTCAAAGTTCCGGACTTTCTCCTGACGTGGAAATTCCGTTTTCCCAGCGGCTCTAGTGGAAAGCGACCCCCGCCTGCTGCTGCCTGATGCTGGTGGTTGTTCTCTGCGAAAGGTCGGCGGAGGGTCCTGTTCCACCTCTGGGAGCACACATGGATGCCTCACAAAGCCAATGTCACAACTGAGGGCACCGTGGGACTCTTCCCGTTGACTTTAAATGGAGTCAGATTGGCTTGTTACATTTCAAGTTACATTTTTGTTTCCCCAAATGAGTCCTTGAACAGCTCTGCGAAGTGGGGTATTTTTATATTGTAGGGGTGCCAACACTGTGTTTCAAACGTCAGGAATGGTTTTCGTAGTACGCCTACTCCACCCTCCTCTCCCCGCTATTATTGTTATTTATTATGATTATCAAGTTCTCACCTACGTGCACCGGGGCTATTTCTTGCAGCTTTTTGTAATACTTGGCAACTCCCAATCTTGTGGTCCAGAGATGAAAAAATAAGTGATGTCCCTTTGTAAGAAGGGGCTTTTGGCCACCCTACAGCACCTCCGCACTGAAAAATCCCTAACGTGACTTTGTGAGAGAGCTGCTATTGAGAAAGAACACAAGAATGGCCACACTGGGTCTGACCAAGGGTCCATTTAGACCAACATTGTGTCTTCTGAAGGGCCAGTGGCAGATGATTCAGAAGGCGCGAACAGAACAGGGGTCTTGTGTGTGAGTCATCCTTTCAGCCACTCCCAGCTGGGAGATTTTAGGGGCCTATGGCGCATACTAGGCATGGATGGAACTAGCCATTCCATGAACTCCTCAGATTCTCTGTTGAGCCCAGTTATACTTTGGAGTTTCACCACATAACATGGCAAAGCCAAATGAAGAAAGTTACTGTGTGCCTCAGGAACGTATGCCTGATGTGCTGCCCAGAGAGAACTCCGAGTCACTGCTTTTAACTTCCGCCAAATACTTACCTCTTCCTTTTCCGCCTGGTGCTCCTTCTGGAGTTCCTTCAGCTTCCTCTTCCACTCTGTTTTCTGAGAATCCAAAAACACCGTTAGCTCTTCCTCACCCTGTTTGCCACGAGTGTGTCACTATTCACCACCAGAAGATTTACCCGGCGTGGCTCGGTTCCTTCACTCAATTATTGTTTTTCTTCATTTGAATCACTGCTCTGGGATGGGGCTGAGGAGGGGTTCAGTCTGCAGGCTACCCTGGGGAGAGAGGACAACCCCAGCCCTCTCTCACTACAGCTGGTTGGGTCTGGGTGAAAACCATCTTTCCATGGCTGCTGCAGCTCCAGCAGGCACATCTGGGAGGAGGGGTGCATGTCCCCCCCATTAGGGAACAGACAGACAGACAAAAACTCTCTCAGATACATAGTAGGTAGCTGTCCCTTTCTCCACTTCTGCTCCAATGGGGGATAGCCGTCCCGGTCCCTATCTCTGGCCCCCTGCTGCTCCCTATGGTCATTATATAGCAACGCCCTCCCTTTCCATTTTAGGAGAAGCAATCCCATTCCAGGCACATCCCATTGTCCTGGGACAGCCAAAGCCAGACCTTGCTTTAAGCTATGAAAAGAGGAAGCTGCGTACCGAATTTGGTGGTCCCAGCTCTTACGGATTGGGACAGGGTTTCCCAACCTCTGGGTCGGGACCCAAATATGGGTCACCATTACATTTCAAAAGGGTCGCCAAGTGTCTCCCCCGGTGGCTCTGCCCTCCTTTCTCCCCCCATTTTTGAATTACCTCGGGTCACTAAGTCTTCCTGAATTGTCAAAATGGGTCCCCATGTGGAAAAGGTTGGGAACCGCCGGTATAGGAGGAGTTTTTGAACAGACAGACACAGAGAAACTCTCTCAAATACAAGAGCGTACTGTTATTCAAAGTGTCAGTGGTGAAGGCCGGTACAGGTGAGAGCCCCAATGTTTCCATTCCCTAAGGGTACATCTACACTTGTGCCCTACTTCAAACTAGGGATGCAAATGTAGGCGATCGAAATTGCTAATGAAGCAGGTCCTAAGGGTACGTCTACACTTGTGCCCTAGTTTGAGTTAGGGATGCAAATGTAGGCAACTAAAATTGCTAATAAAGCAGGGATTTAAATATCCCGTGCTTCATTAGTATGATCTCACCGGCACGTTACTCCACTCAACAGCTGTTTTGAAAGTGAAAGTGTGCACTGGGATGAGTTAGTTCGAACCAAACCCCTTGAATATTTAAATCCCCGCTTCATTAGCAATTTCGGTCGCCTATATTTGCATCCCTAGCTCGAACTAGGGAGCAAGTGTAGACGTACCCTAACTGTTTTGCATCAGATCCTCAGCTGGTGTAACTTGGTCTAGAGCAGGGGTTCCCAACCTGAGGTAAGCATGCTAAGCCGACAAACAGCTGATCAGTGCGCTAGTCTGGACGCTCCCCTGTCGACATGAAAGCCCTTTATCGACCTCCCCGGTAAACCTCATCCTACGAGGCATAACGGGGAGGTCGATAAAGGGCTTTCAGGTCGGTGCGGGAGCTTTCAGACTAGCGCACTCCTTTTCATAGTCTGCTGCTTTGTCTTTAGACAATACATTTGGTGGTTGGGTCTGTTGAACGCTGTAAAGAATGAGCCACGTGTGCAGTCAAACAACTGTAGTCAAATATATTGTGATGGTCACTGGGGGCTCTGTTTCCAGCTTCCCTCACTGGGAGGATGGTCAACAGCCCCCTAATTTAGCAGACAGGGTAGGAGACTGGAGAGCGCAGGTTCTATATTTCAGCTGGCCCATGACTGTTGAAAACGGAGGGCATGGTCAACCATGCAATGCACTGGCTTGTCCCTTCCCCTCGCTATGTTACGCAATCATGGGAGAAGCTCCCACCGAGGCAGAGCCAAAAAGGCAGCTGCCGCCGGAGGTACTTCCTCACCTGTAAGTCCATCTTCTCCCTCATGCCCTGAAGCTCTCGCTGAGTCAGCGCCCGCTGCTGCTTGTCGTCAGAGTCGTCGTCCCGCAGGACTCCCAGGTTGGACGCCGCCAGATTTTGGGCCTGCAGCTCCTTCAGTTTCTGGAGAGGACGGAAGGAGGGATTGGAAGCGGTGTCAGAACCAGCTCGCTATGGCACCCGAAGGGGAGGGCACTCAAGCACTGAGGTCTGTAACTCACTGGTTAAATTGCCGCGTTGCCTGTCAGATGGGAGTGTTTGACCTTCGAATATGGTTTCCCTTTCGGTGAGACTCACCTTCATGATGCAGCGGAACTAGATACAAGCGAGCCTGCCTTGATACTGGTTTGGGTTCCCCTCACTATTTTAAGTCCAGGGCTTTGCTTCCTAGTTTCACTGACATGTCCTCGTTCCCCTGCCCCAGTGGGATAAAGGGGAGCTGCGCTGAGCGACCGACCGTGAGGAAAAGCACCCTAGCCAGCCTCTGGCGCTCTGTACTGGCCTGAAAGCAATGGGACAAACTGAGGCCCACACAGGAAGAAAGCCGAGCATCTCCTTCCACAGCGGAGCGGCGACTCTCCCGTTTCACTCACCCCTTCGAGGGCAGAGTTCTTGCTGGCAATTTCCTTGAATTCTGACAGGAACAACTGCCGCAGGCCCTCCATTTCCTGCTGGAACTTTGTCCTCTCCTCCTCTTTCCATCTCTCAAATTCCCTTCTTGCCTCCTCTTCTCTCTGGCGACTTTTCTCTGCTTCCTGCCAAGGAAACACAAACACCATGCAGGGGGCTGAGAAGAAAACTCCGTCCAGTGATTCAGACCCCCTTCCCCCTGGACCTTCTCTCTATGAAATGAGCCCTGACAATCTCGCTTCAGAGAGGCTGGCTGGTCTGCGAGCTTAGGTCTATCTGGACCCAAATTTTGTACTGGTTTAACACTAGCATTACCACTAAAGAGGAGCCTCCCCATTCACGCATGGACGTAGTGAGCACCAGGCATAGTTATGCCAGTGTACCTACAACCATACTAGTGCTTCTACAAGTATATAGCGCCCATTTATAAAAAGGGAAATAAGAACAACCCAGGAAACTACAGACCAGTTAGTTTAACTTCAGTGCCAGGGAAGATAATGGAGCAAGTAATTAAGGAAATCATCTGTAAACACTTGGAAGGTAGCAAGGTGACAGGGAACAGCCAGCATGGATTTGTAAAGAATAAATCAGGTCAAACCAATCTGATAGCTTTCTTTGATAGGATAACGAGTCTTGTGGCTAAGGGAGAAG